CATTCAGCAATAGGTGAGCGCCTTTCCTGGAATAAGATGGTGAGGGATTCATGGTAAATTCTACTTGTCGTTTAAAGTTAAAATAGTGCATCGTTCAGATTTGCCTTCAGTTAACATGAAAGAATAAAAGAGCACTGGCAAGGGGAAAAATAGCACTATAGCCAATCAGTCTTGATAGTTAATCCCGCTGGTTTGTGTTCATACTGGGGTTTTTTCCGGTTCTGAACCACGTGACGTCCAGATAGATTTCAGCCTAATAGAGACACCTGCACTGGATAATCAATTTCACATGTATTTTGTGTATTTTCAAAATACAAAATACTGTATTTGTATTTATATACATTTTTCCACACTGTATTTTTTATTTTTTATTTCAAATGCATTTTCATGTATTTATGCCTATCTCTGACTGTATTAAAATAAACTTGTTTCGGGTAATTAATTTTGATTTTGTTGTTTTTCACTGTAAAGTCTGTTTTATATTGTAAATAGTATTTGTAGCAGATGAGATTCTGTAAAGAGTAATCAGCAGCCTTTTTATTACACTTATATCCTGGTTTTCATAAGTTTTATTTATATAACTTTTTAAAATAGTTACATCCTAGCCAGATTATTACTACTTAGTATTTATATACATTTTTCCACACTGTATTTTTTATTTTTTATTTCAAATGCATTTTCATGTATTTATGCCTATCTCTGACTGTATTAAAATAAACTTGTTTCGGGTAATTAATTTGGATTTTGTTGTTTTTCACTGTAAAGTCTGTTTTATATTGTAAATAGTATTAGTAGCAGATGAGATTCTGTAAAGAGTAATCAGCAGCCTTTTTATTACACTTATATCCTGGTTTTCATAAGTTTTATTTATATAACTTTTTTAAATAGTTACATTTTTAACTCCTAGCCAGATTATTACTACTTCATTTGCTTTTCACATTACTAAAGAAAATAATTACATTCTTGACACTGTTAAACTATTTCACTCCCTGTAGGGGAGCAAGTGATGAGGAAGTTGACAGAGAGCCGTAAGTTTGTTTTATTACAGAGAGCTGACTTTATATATTCAGTTAAACAACACTCAGGGTACATCTGTGAGGAAAATACATTCAGAGGTTATAATTTTAAATATAAAAAAAATTAAATTCAGTATTAAGAGAATATTTTAAACACTTTATGGTTTGTTTTGGACACTTAAACTCCTCCTTGTCAGGTGACACATGAAAGTGAAACTATTACAGCAGTATCTGTTTTGAGGAATGAGGAAAAAATGAACCTCTCTGAAGAACGTGACACAAAGATAGTCAAGAGGTGAGAAAACTTGAAATGTTTCACATTTTTAATGCTCAGAACCAATAAATGCACACTACAATAGCATTTTCATTTATAGTCTGATTCAGGAGTGTGAATCAGATTTACCTGAACACATCAATGTGTCTGTGAGGAAAAACCCACCAGTGGATCGTTCAGATCTCTGCAGAGAGGAAGACTCTTCTGTTGAGTGCAGGTGAGATATTATGAGTGTCATATATACTGTAGGTGTGGTTCATTATGGATATTGTCACCAGGCATCCCTGTTGCTGCTGGATGTTTGTGTCTGTCTTTATCTATATGTGTGTATTGGTCTAACTTATTCTATAATGCATGAATGAAAAGAACACATGGGGCAGATTCCTTTTATTCATAGAAAAATAATACTTTCATTTTTGACTCTCAAATTACAACAGACTCCTCAAGCGAAAGATGAACATTAAAGGGAGGTTGAAACAGTAAAGGTTTTTTCTGTCAAAGCAATGTGAGATTTTCAGAAACAGTTTGTATTGCTGTTATATTTCAGTCTGTGGAAGAATAAATCTCCTGAACCCAGCTGTGTGTCCATGAAGAGTGACCAGCCAATGGATTGTCCAATTCAATTCAGTTTGGAAGAATCATCTGCTAATCTGAGGTGTTTAGTTTACAGTATAAGGAATATAAATGATATTCATTAATTTACTGATGTGCATTAAATATATTATTACATATTTACAAAAATATTCAATATTTGTTTAACTACAGTCAAAACCATGAAGGACCAGAATCACATATAGCAAAGAAGAACTTAGACTCCATTTTCAAGGTTGGATTTGTGTGTGTGTGTGTGTGTGTGTGTGTGTGTGAGTGTGTGTGTGTGTGTCTGTCTGTCTGTATGTGTCCCAACACAATAACCCTCTGTGTAAAATTATTAAGAAATTGTTTGTGAAATCCTCTTTGTAATTTATTTTCCTACCCATATAAGATAAATTGTAGGCCACTATAAAGCAGATCAATGTCCACTAAAGTATAGAAGCTGAATCCATATGTAACCTGAACGCTGCACAAAGATGAACATCAATCTAGCAAACAACCAATCCAGTCAAACTCCCTCTTTTAACCTCAGTATCTGTAGACACTGATGTTTGAGCATACAGTGGAAGTTATTAGAAGATGTGATTTAATTCAGTGAAGGTTATTAGTATTCATGCATGGGTAAGGGTAGGGGTAGGGTTAGGTCAAATAATGTCATATTTGCATTAAAAATGACATAACTGAGCGAATGACACTTAATGACAGTTGTCATAAACATGCATAAAACCTCCTTAATATTCATAACATGTGTCATGTCATGATTATGAAGGTGTCATGTCAGTCTTATGCACACCCCTTCAAGTAAAGTGTTACCAAGTAAACTACATTAAGAGAGAAAAACACAGCGAGTATCACGATTTCACAATCATCTTTGATAGCCAAAATCAATCCTGACTGGTTTAAAGTGAGTATAAAAATAGGCAGTATCAGATATTTTGAAAGTAGTTAAATTACGTTTATAAAGAAAACACAATGAATAATTTGATTGTGTAAATAATATCAGGATGAACTTGTTTTTCATGTGTGCAGGTCATTGCTGTGGACTGACTGTTGAGAGGTGGATTTGAGAAAATTAATTGCTGAGATGATTCATAACTCACTCTGTGGACCAGCATCTGTATCTGCTTTTAGATGAAACCATGGCCTTTAAAATGAACCTCTCTGAAGAACGTGACACAAAGATAGTCAAGAGGTGAGAAAACTTGAAATGTTTCACATTTTTAATGCTCAGAACCAATAAATGCACACTACAATAGCATTTTTCATTTATAGTCTGATTCAGGAGTGTGAATCAGATTTACCTGAACACATCAATGTGTCTGTGAGGAAAAACCCACCAGTGGATCGTTCAGATCTCTGCAGAGAGGAAGACTCTTCTGTTGAGTCCAGGTGAGATATTATGAGTGTCATATATACTGTAGGTGTGGTTCGTTATGGATATTGTCACCAGGCGTCCCTGTTGCTGCTGGATGTTTGTGTCTGTCTTTATCTATATGTGTGTATTGGTCTAACTTATTCTATAATGCATGAATGAAAAGAACACATGGGGCAGATTCCTTTTATTCATAGAAAAATAATACTTTCATTTTTGACTCTCAAATCACAACAGACTCCTCAAGCGAAAGATGAACATTAAAGGGAGGTTGAAACAGTAAAGGTTTTTCTGTCAAAGCAGTGTGAGATTTTCAGAAACAGTTTGTATTGCTGTTATATTTCAGTCTGTGGAAGAATAAATCTCCTGAACCCAGCTGTGTGTCCATGAAGAGTGACCAGTCAATGGATTGTCCAATTCAATTCAGTTTGGAAGAATCATCTGCTAATCTGAGGTGTTTAGTTTACAGTATAATAAATATAAATGATATTCATTAATTTACTGATGTGCATTAAATATATTATTACATATTTACAAAAATATTCTATATTTGTTTAACTACAGTCAAAACCATGAAGGACCAGAATCACATACAGCAAAGAAGAACTTAGACTCCATTTTCAAGGTTGGATTTGTGTGTGTGTGTGTGTGTGAGTGTGTGTGTGTGTGTGTGTGTGTGTGTGTGTGTGTGTGTGTTTGTCTGTCTGTATGTGTCCCAACACAATAACCCTCTGGGTAAAATTATTAAGAAATTGTTTGTGAAATCCTCTTTGTAATTTATTTGTAAGATAAATTGTAGGCCACTATAAAGCAGATCAATGTCCACTAAAGTAGAGAAGCTGAATCCATATGTAACCTGAACGCTGCACAAAGATGAACATCAATCTAGCAAACAACCAATCCAGTCAAACTCCCTCTTTTAACCTCAGTATCTGTAGACGCTGATGTTTGAGCATACAGTAGAAGTTATTAGAAGATGTGATTTAATTCAGTGAAGGTTATTAGTATTCATGCATTAACTCTTGTGTATTGATCCTTTGGTTCACCTTCTCTGTGACTGAATGGAGGTTTATTGTTTGAATATTTACTATGATTTCAGGAGCTTGAGCAGAAAATCATCTCTGTGATGAAGAGTGAGTTAAAAAGCTTTAAGAGACAACTGAGTCCAGATTACCCAGAATGCTCTGAAAGAGACGATCATGATGGAGTTGCTGGAATTGGATAAACAGTCTCTGTGCAGAAGTTCATTCTGGACTGGGCTGAAGGAAAAGCCAATCAGGATGTTCATTTCATATTTCCACTTCCTTTCAGGGAGCTGAATTTGTTACAGAAAAAGATCAGTCTTGTGGATCTTCTAAATCACCTTCACACAGAAACCAAACAATTTATGTCAGCAGATTATGATGACTACAATGTCATGTTCATATTTGATGGTCTGGATGAGTGTCGATTACGTCTAGATTTCCAAAACAATCGGAGCTTGTCTGATGTAACAGAATCAGCTTCAGTGGATGTGCTGCTGACCAACCTCATCAAGGGGAATCTACTTCCTTCTGCTCTCCTTTGGATCACCTCTCGACCAGCAGCAGCCAATCAGATCCCTCCTGAGTGTGTTGACCAGGCCACAGATGTACGAGGATTCAACGACCCTCAGAAGGAGGAATATTTCAGGAAGAGAATAAATGATCCGAGTCTGGCTGATAGAATTGTCACACACATCTGATCATCAAGAAGTCTGTTCATCATGTGTCACATACCAGTCTTCTGCTGGATTTCAGCCGCTGTTCTGGAGAGGATGATGGGTAAAGCAGAGAGTGCAGAGATTCCCAAGACTCTCACACAGATGTTCACACACTTCCTGATCTTTCAGACCAAATTGAAGACACAGAGGTATGATGGGAAATATGAAATCGATCCTGATCAGTCTAGAAAGACTATTCTGTCTCTAGGAAAGCTGGCTTTTGAACAGCTGGAAAAAGGGAACCTGATCTTCTATGAGGAGGACCTGAAAGAGAGTGGCATTGATGTCAGAGAAGTGTCAGTGTACTCAGGAGTTTGTACCCAGATCTTCAGAGAGGAGTTTGGACTGCAGCTGGGGAAGGTGTTCAGCTTTGTTCATCTGAGTATTCAAGAGTTTCTTGCTGCTTTATTCAAGCTGCTGTCCTTTTTCTGAACAAAACACAGGACTGAGGAAGGTGTTCAGGATACCAATGACCAGTTTACTGAAGAGAGAAGTGGACAAGGCCTTACAGAGTGAGAATGGACACTGGGACCTTTTCCTCCGGTTCCTTCTAGGTCTCTCACTAGAGTCTAATCAGACTCTCTTACAAGGCCTCCTGAGAAAGAGAGTAAGCAGCTCTGATATCAATCAGGAAACAGCTGAATACATCAAACAGAAGATCAGGAAGAATCACTCTCCAGAGAAATCCATCAATCTGTTCCACTGTCTGAATGAACTGAATGATCGTTCACTGGAGAAGGAAGTCCAAAAATACCTGAGCAGAACAGATTACAGTCGTCTCTCTGGAGTCAAACTGTCTGCTGCTCAGTGGTCGGCTCTGGTGTTCGTGCTGTTGGACTCAGAAGAAGAGCTGGATGAGTTTAAACTGAGTAAATATGATCCATCAGAAGAATGTCTCCTGAGGCTGCTGCCAGTTATCAAAGCATCTAGAAAAGCTGAGTGAGTATTTTACAGTGTCTTTGTTTTATTGACTTTATTTTATACAGTAGGCCTGTGTTTCTTTACACTGTTTCTGTATATTTTGAGGTCTTTCTTATTTGACACACTCAGCTAAAATCACAGAGAGCTCTACTAATGATCTGATGAGTTAAATCAAGAGTATTTAATAAGAGAGATTCATTCAAACTGTGCAAAGTTAAGGTGCCTCCAGGAACAGGGTTGTGACTCTGATATTACAAATATTAGATTGAGATCATCATCAATCACTTAAAAGTTGCATTCAGGTTTGTTGGAATAAATGAAAATAATTCAAATTCTAATAATAAATAAGTATAATAATTAAATTTCATTAAATTAAATTATTAGACAAAATGTCTCTTAGTAAAACTGGGGAAAAAGCAAAAGATCTTTAGTCAATGCCACTCGAGGAACAACAGATGCATGTGATCATGTGACAGCCATTTATGGGGCTGTCATTTTACTTTTTTTTTCTCCAGAAAAAAATGTTTAAAAAAATATAAATATGTTATCATGGATAAGGCTAGCTTGTATAATTTCATGACACTGTTTGTACATCAGATATACATGTACCGAAATCTTCAATAACATTAACCATGTTTGATTTGACAACATTCAGTATTTTCCTGATTTAGCAAACTATTGTCTGGTCAATAAGAATAATCCTCAAATGACAAGTCAACAAATCATCTGATGAATGTTGCAAAAATAATAAATAAATAAATAAATAAACCTATGCAACACTAACAATTTACACAAATTCCCTAGAGTATGGACTCATTTTGGCATCAAGTGAGGACTCCAGTTGGGCATTAATTGTAATCTTGACTAACTTGTAACCTTTATTAACAAGTGTTTGTACAACACGAGTTGATCTTTGGTTGACCAATCAGCAAAAAGGTGTGTTTCATGTCCGCCTACATGTTTTTTTATTTTTTAATATAAAAACACATGATCACAATGTACACGATCTGTACCGCTCCACTATAAGCAGGCTGAATACAAATTAAAATACAAATTCTTCTTCAGTAGTTAAGGTTAAGACTCCAGTAGTTTGGGAATATTTATGGGAATATTTGGGTCCTGTTTGTTGAGTCAAATCTTAATTTCAGTTTGAATCTGAAGTCTATTAAACTGGGATTTAACCAGACACTCTCTGTGTCTGGTTTAATAATTGATATCTATAATATGTATTACATCTGTGGTTTTCAGCAATTATATTGGACACATTACGCACTAATAACTCATTTTTAGTTTTATGTATATTTTCTGCAGTTTTTCCGGCTGTTGTATTACACAGAAAGGCTGGTCTGCTCTGATTTCAGCTCTGAGATCAAACCCCTCACACCTGAGAGAACTGGATCTGAGCCTTAATAAACCAGGAGATTCAGGAGTGAAGCTGCTCTCTGCTCTACTGGAGGATGCACACTCTAAACTGCAGAAACTACAGTGAGTCTCATCACATCTCAGTAACTATAAGGTTTGGAATAAAAAGTAAAAACTCATATGTGTTTTCTGTAGAAGTGGTTTTGTTTGCTGCCCTCTTACCCTCAGTTCAGACCCTTTAAACCAGTGGTCGGCAACAGGCGGACTGCGGGCCAAAACATTTTGAAGCAATGTTTTATTTTTAGATGAATTGAGAGCTTTTAACTTGAAAAGTTCTCAAAAGACATTCAAAAGAGTCTGTGGATCGCTACACACACCTCTAAAAAAGCTGTCAATATGTGGTATGAAAAAATTAACAGTGAACCACTGAAACGTAAAAGTAGGCTACGTCAAATAATTATTACAATAAGTTAGGTTCCATTGTGTAACAAGCAAATTAAAATGATACACATTTATTATTCACAATATGGAAAGAGGAAATAAAACACAGTTTGTTAAGAGCATGACTCAAACATGCAGTTAATGGGCTTATTCAAGTCCTCTTTTATTTTTTTAGTTAATTTTATCCATTCCACATCTCCCACATATGTGTGTTTTAGCAAGGCTGTCTGTGTTGCAAGTTGGTGAATGAAGATACTTACCAGGTTACGTATCACTACTCTGCTTTATTAAAGGGGTGGTTCATTGCGATTTCACTTTTTTAACATTAGTTAGTGAGTAATGTTGCTGTTTGAGCATAAACAATATCTGCAAAGTTACGAAGCTGAAAGTTCAATGCAAACGGAGATATCGTCTTTTAAAATTCTGGCAGTTTAATGCCTACAAAAACGGCTGGTAGGATATACAACAAGTTACTTCCCAGGTTCGTGACATCACAAACCCAGATAAACCCCGCCCTCGGGAAAAGGCAGCAAAAGGGGGCGAGGCCATGCTGCACTGCTTTAGAGAAGAGGAAGAGAAAACTAGAGGTGCACGTAAAAATCTATTCATATATGAATCGCGATTCTGTCTTCTAACGATTCTAATGGATTCACAAGATTCAAAATCAATGTTCAAAAGCAGCAGTTCTCAATACTGTTCCTCGCGTCCCCTGCTCTGCACATGCTCTGCATCTCTCTCTCTCTCTCTCTTTCTCTCTCTCTCATTCAGCTCAGCTCCAACAATGAACTGTTCCAATTATACACTTATTTTCACATAGCTATGAGAAGCATTATCATGGACGTGTGCATGCGTTGCTGTACTGTATTAAAGCTTTAATCAGGATAAAACCATATATTAAAAGCTAGCATAAGCAGTAGCATTTACAAATAAACAGCGTATCTAAAAGTATGAGACTGAAACATTTGCATATTCAGCAGATCTACACCTGAGGGAAACGTCAGATTCTTAGTTCAAACACACCTTTGTAAAAAAGCCTATGGGTGAGACTTCTAGTTAATTAGCCGCTATAGGGAAATAACCAGAAGAATTACAACGCGCAGTAAACAGTTTGCCCTACAAACCAGTGTGTTCATAAATAAGATAATACATTAAAATAATATGGTAAGACACACCAGTTTGTAATATCAAGCACCAAAATGAGCTGTTTTGTACAGATAAAAAAAGCTGGAAGGGAATGAGGCCAGAAGCAAGACCCATAAAATTTACAAATGGCCACCCATTTTTACGGGAAGAATAAGGTGGATAGGATGTCCAAAATAATCAAATATCTCAATTAATATTAACCAATATTTGTGATTAGGTACTAATTAGAAACACATTCTAAATTTAATGATCACTTGAAAATTACAGTCAGATTAAACACGCAGCTACAATAAATAATAATATATATTATTATAAATAAATATAATAAACTCAATCCTAACAAATTAAGTGAACTTTGCAGAAGAGCAAGTAAAAGATATGTCATAGTTATACTATAATTTTACTATTATCACCTATTTAGTATTATAAACTAGTTCAGCATCACAATCAGGAAATATGTGGGTAGAGTGCATTTAAATTAATGTTTTAGTTTCTGGCAAGTTAAAATCTCTATAGCACCGATCCTGGTGTATAGAAAAAGTAGTGCTCATATAAACACACACACAAACACACTCTCACCCTAAAGTTTAAACACATTCTCAGAGATCATTCATGTTCTTCACTCGCTGCAGGCTGAGTTACTGCGGTGTTGGAGAGGAAGGCTGTGCTGCTCTGATTTCAGCTCTGAGATCAAACCCCTCACACCTGACAGAACTGAATCTGAGATGTAATAAACCAGGAGATTCAGGAGTGAAGCTGCTCTCTGCTCTACTGGAGGATCCACACTCTAAACTGGAGAAACTACAGTGAGTGTTATAACATTATTGAACACAAACACAAAACTGTGTGAAAATAATGCCAAACAAAAACATTTCATGTTAAAGGGATAGTTCACACAAACATGAAAATTCTATCATCACGTTACTTTTCTTCAAGTAATTTCAAAACAGTGTAAGGCCTCTGCGAATATCGCACAAATTAACGATTGAATCTTCGCATTCCACCAGAAAAACTAAGGACTCTCCTCCCCAGCTATCTATGGTCGCAAAGAAGATCAATGATCAACAGGGCACCTAATTGTCTGGACCTGCTTCCAGTCAAGGCCTGGTCCTTATCCCTTAGGAGGGGGGATCTGAACTGCTTAAACCCTAACTCAAACTAGGATACAAAACTATCTTTGGTTTACGGGCTTTCAAGGACCAGATGCGTGATACCCATGACCATTTAACACATAAATTGCTAAATCTCATAAACAGAAAGCGACAGATTAAGAGCTCCTTGTCCAGGAGAAGAATGGCAGACTCCCAACTCATGACATGGGCATGACCTCAGGACACCTCCCCTTTCCCCCCTGCATTCCAAAAAAGGGATGCATCTTTTACTACTTCCCAGAAAAAGCACGCGTTTCCCCTGTCACAGACAAAGGGACACGAAACTTACACAGACAATTCATAAGACAATCATTTAAAAAGTATAAAAGGGGCAACCATATTCACAAATAATATGTCTTATATATATATGCTTGACGTGTTTCATGTAATCGGTGCAACTTTAATCAGTGTTTTATTACCCTTTTAGGAAATAATGTTATTAAAATGTGTGTAATATGTGAATTTTAATCTTGAACGAATGGGCACGACCAATGCCGAATGTTGAAATGAAGTAAACTTTAATAGTGAGTACAAGACTTGCATTAGGAAACTTTATGAAAGCATCAACCGAGTCTTCGCAAAGATTTTTCTCATGTGATGAATTGAAGCCCCTTTGTTAATGTATGCACATTCCGCCTTGCAAGACGTCGATTGGAAGATAATGCTGTGGGACGGACCTACGCCGCGGATCAAAACCCCACTGCAACACAGATTCAACAGCTCTAGCTCTGGCTGGCTCTTCGCTTTTCGCCGTGTTAAGAGCACTCCAACTTTACCATCAAAGCGACCGGTCATATAACACTCAAACACTTCAGTTGAAGCTTCGCAATCTTCAAAGAACTTGAAGTCTTGCAAACTCAGACTTTTAGCAGAACCGCTCAAGCTTCTTCCGTCATCAAGAGACCAACCAATCCAATGAGGGCTTTCCCAAAAGGATGTCATCCAAACGTCATTCCGGCGCCAGATCAACAAGCAATCAAAAGCCGGGACTCACTCAGGCAACGAGGAAATCAACTCCGCTTCTCAGATTTCAGCAAAACGCAAGTACAAACAAATCTTACAGCTGCTGAAATCGGTGCTGATGATTGAGTTAAGCAGTAAAGATAAGAAAATCTCTGCTTTGGGATTCTCTCAGTTGAATTTAAAACCACTCGTGGAAACGAGTGAGAACTTTGAAAACTTCATGCAACTCCGTTAACTCATTTCCTTCTTCTGAACTGTATGTGTGTGTGTATGTGTGTTTTAGCTTAGCTTTAATGTAACCTAGGATAGCCAATAAAATTCGTGTTTCATTGATAAAGAATCATTGTCTGGTGTCGTATAATTCTAAAGTAAAAAACCTTGCCAAAGATCACGTTACCTAGCTCGTAGCTTACTTATCATAATTGCATTGACCGTGGCCAGGGAACTACAAATATTCAAATTGTTAAAATATACTGAGATCACCGGCTTGCTGGACAACCGTTGATTTAAAGTGTAAACTGTCAAATTTGAATTCAGTTTTAATCAGGTGGACCTATATTTTTAAGATTTGAGTCCTTTCAAAACCTGAGCTAGAAATCAAATTAATGATTAATTCCCTTATCAAGAATTAATGAGTTAAATTCCTTACATCAATGGTGGAGAATGCAGGCAGATTTGACTCAAAAATGAATGACACCAAGATAATATTAAGAAACTTGTCTATTTATGTCCGGAAAAATAGATGAGACATAGAGAAACCGAGTTTGTTGTGTTACCGGATATTTTATTATAGCATGGCAGAGCGTGTTCAATGAATGAAGTGAAACTCGAGGGTTTGTTGTTTAGAATTGAACTGCAGTAGAAACATTTGAATTTTTTCTGTCGGGACAAAATAAGTCGCTCTAAAAAAGCGCACGAAGGAAGAAATTAGCGTTTTCCTCGTTTACTTTCTCTAAAAAGGCCTTCATAGTTCGATTTGTTGCGTGTTCCATCTCCAAATTAGTCTATGATAAATAAATCTCCCGGCTTCAGACCATTAACCTAGCTAATTAATGCTCTTGCCAGTTAATTCACTAAAAAAACTAGTGAACTTGAAAATGCGGTACTCACAGAGTGTCCGAGACGTTATTTTTGTGATGGGAGAATTGTGAAATCTTGATCAAGTGAAATCGTGGTTAAATCCACACGTGTTTTTGTCTGTATAAATCTGTGCTGATATCCGCCGAGGATCTCAATGACAGTGAATTAATTACAGTAAAGCTGTACATTAATTTACCTCACTCTAACGAGTGAGTGTTACACAGCGCTGTAAGATAA